TATATATATATAAAAGAACAAGTACAAAATAAATCTAAGTACAAATGCTGTATTTTGGAAATCCAGAGATATTGTTGCCCACTTTAACAACTCCATAAACTGGATGGCTTTGTGTGCCAAGCAACAAACAACAAACACCCAGCCCAAAGATGCTTATAATAAGTGGACATGGCAACACTGTGAGAGCATGCTTGAAACAGTCTTCCAAGCTTAAACAAAACACGACGTCTCTGTCAGCGGTGCACAATCAAACGTCGCAATTTCAGGAGTCTTTTTTTGACACAAACGGAACTTAACATTTAAGGAATTCACTCCAGCATTTAAGTGCACTTGACATTCCTGAATTTTGTGTACGAGGCCATAGTGTGGCAGACAGAGAGCATTTTTAAAAAATTGTGTACATTTTTCAGCTACATGTTACTTTTTCCAGTAAGCGGTGCAGAGGTTTTTTTTCCAAGTAAACATATCCAGGTAAACACTGCTGTTTATAACTGCCTTCCTCTCTGTTTCATTCTAGCATTTTATTCAGTGTAAATATATGTGTTTAATGCTAGTCCTCAATTGAGATGTTTAATTCATGCAAAAAACATCATTATTGAAAAATACTGATTAAATTACAAATTGTATAATCTAAGTTATATATTTAAAAAGATATAGTTCTGTTTTCACAAACACAGCCTGACTACAGTTGAACTACTTTAATCTCTGAGTTGATTGTAGCTTGGCAAACACTTTAAAGCTGTGATTATGATTATGTAAGGTCAGGTTTGCGTTAATCTGCTCAAACAGAAAGTGCCAAACCAATTTCATTGTGATATCAGCGATCAGCTTTGTTTCTCTCTTTCTCTCTCTCTGGTTCTCTCGTCCCTTGGACAATGTGGGACTCTGGGAAACTAGCAAAGAGTATGTTTTTTTTCTTTCACAAACCCCCCTCCTCTTTTTCCTGTTCTATCCATCACAGCATTCTCTCTGCCTCATTCACTTTTCCCACAGTGTGTGCATGTCTGTATTTCATCCTTTCTTTTTTTGGCAGAATAAATCAAAGGTCATGTAGGGTCAGGGCAGACGAGACAGAGCTGCTACAGGAAACGGGGGAGGACAGAAACCAATGCAGCATGTTTAGGAAAACAGGAAATTCTTTCTTGAAGATAATTTGTAGGATTAGTGCGAAGACAAAGAGACAGAAGAAAATTTGATTGCTGAGAGTTTGCACTTTTTATAGCTCAAGCTACATGGTGTCGCTCACAGTTACTTGTGTGTGTGTGTGTGTGTGTGTGTGTGTGTGTGTGTGTGTGTGTGTGTGTGTGTGTGTGTGTGTGTGAAGAACTTAAATGATTTTAGCAAATGGCTTCAATATAACAAAGAGTGAAAAATTGAAGGGTGTCTGAATACTTTCCGTACCCACTGTATATATATACTGCAGTGTAAACAGTATGAGACATTTCTAATGCTGCATGGTAAATACTGTCACATACTATAATCCAGCTCTATTTGGGACACATCTCATTTGTGACTGTTCTTGTGGAGAGACTGAGAAAAGGGAAAAGACGGACAGCAAAACAAAATGGCATTTGAGAGTGAAGAGGTGCAAAAGAAAAGCTCTAAATCCATCAATCAGCCTGGACTAACATAATAAACACGCTAATAACACACAAACCAAAAACAGCACCAAACCGACACACACACCGACACACACACGCACACTCACTCACTCACACACCCACACACCCACCCACACACACACACAAACACATACTCACACACATTTCATTATTTTATTTGGATCCACAAAACAAGCAACAAAAACGGAATCCAAATACCTTGGGAAGCCAGTTTGCAAGATGACAGGTACACATGGCTAACATACATTCACAAGTCCTTGTATTTATAACATTCAACACTCAAGGATAGACAAAACATCTTCGTTTCCATATTTGCATACTCCCTATAGTGGCTGAAACTGAACAAAATTTTGCACATTCTTGTGCACATGACCTAAACTTCCAGCACACACACACACACACACACACACACACACACACGCACAGCACTGCCTCTGAAAAGTCAGTTTCGTCACTTTATTAACTGAGTTCCATTTATTCTGACAAACTCTCTCCATTCGTCTCTCTCTTTGTCTCAGGACACGATTCCCCTGGGCCAGAACGTTGAGGCGGAAAGTTCCAACAATTAACGAAAAAAAGGTAATAACAGACTAACGTTTGTACGGCAGGCTTAAGGCAGAGACAAGGGGGAGGCCAGGATTATAGGAAGAGACTTCGCAGGCTGCTCTCAATTCATTTAACAAGCCTTAAAGGGCACACACACATATAAACACACACAGCCCAGTACAGCCAAACACTGTCACTGTCCAACAAAACCCTCTCCTGGAAAATCTGAAATGTCTCCTTCACTCACATCTTTCCTGTGTCTCGCCCGTCCCACACAAAAATTATTAATTGGAGATTGAAAAGAGGAAAAAACTAAATCCAGTTAAGCAGAACACACAGGGAAAGAGAATCACAAACGAAACCTTTTTAAAGACATGAGATTCCAAACCCATTTCACCTCCATCATTTGAATAAGTGCACCAATATGCACAATGTTTGTCTCACTCCTCGTATTCTAGTGCACATGTGAGCGCTGAGAGCCAGGATCTCAGTGTGTGTTGCCTTGGATGAGCGAGAAATGGAAAACCTGGAGTGGAGTTGGAACGTTTCAGTGCAACAGCAAACGAATGTGTGCAATACATCAGAAAGGATGTTTATTATTAAGCAAGTCAAATACAGATTTATACAATACAGATTGTCAAAGCAGCTTCGCAGAGATAAACAGGAACATAGCAGACTCATTGATGGAAACTCAACTATGGAGACAGTTCAGATTCTGCTGTAAAGCAGCTCTAAAAGACAAGAGTGTCATTATTCAGCTCAAGTCAGTTCAGATCAATGTCAGTGTGAAGTTAATCGATCGGCTATAGGCTATATGCAGCAATATAGTTATTCAGCTTTAGTCAGTTCAGTGTTGATTCAGTCCAGTCCCAGTTCAGACAGATCTTAAATATTTCCAATAGTGTTACTGAATGGTACTGCATGGAAAATGACTGCTTTGAAAGACTCCTTGTGTGTCATTAGTCAGGTAAAAGTCACTCCAGTGAATGAATGTTACTGTGTCGGGCTGGTCAGGATGATCAGACGTGCAGATCAATGTTGTGATAGTGCTACAAAGCCAAACTGTTTACACTTTACAAACGAATCAATGTAGGATTGGCTAATTACTCTTGGATCTGTGTTTTAAGCTGGGATGTATTGTAACACTAAAAATTGGAATTCTTCCCTTTCATGTGAAAGAGTCTAGATTAAATGAATAAATGAAGAGTGAAGCTGTGAAGAAGCAACCACTAAGAAATAACCTTTAAAGGAATAACATTTTTTATTTACAGGGAGCTTCAGATTCTTCTTGTGCTCGCGGTCACATGCCGTGTCTGCATTTCTTACTGTCTGTGTGTTAAAGCTCCGCTCACAGCCGTTTGTTTCTAAGAGACATTTCATAATGCCAGTTTATGGAGAGTACCCAACACCCACCTCACTCTCTCCTACAAACACTCCTTCAGCTGCAATCTGGCTCCAGTCCTGTCCTGCCTGACAGACACGTAGCGCTGATGTGAACACAGCCAGACCAGAACCTTTACAGAAGACACACACTCACAGCACAGAGCAGCAGACACACACAAACCTACAGACCGGCCTGAATGCCTCACAATAACCAGCAGCTCTTCAGGCTGAAGTGTGCATTAGGAAAGGGCATTTTGGTCATTTAAGTGTTTTCCTAATTGCTCCTTGCTGTCAGTTCCCATCCCTAACGTGCATCACCATACACAGATCTGTGTTTCTGCTTCCCTGGTCGTTCTGTGCTGACAGTTTCCATGTCGTTCAGTGTTTAGCAGAGACAGACCTCACACATCTATCTACTGTAAACACACTTCAGTGAGGACTGTAACACTGTTACCAGCCCAACATAAGTCCAGCATGTTCCTACGGTCTCTGTGAGAATAAGGATCGGTGTGGGCATGTGTTTACCTCCTTCACTGGTGCTGACGCTCATCCAGGCCGTCCAGCTCGAGACGCCCTGACTGCTCCGGCAGGCCATTCTGAGATCATACTGGCTGAAGGCCTCCAGATCTGAGATCAGATGACTGGTGTCGGGTGCGCTGACCGTCTGACTGGAGATGATGACCTGATCAGAGTCTTCACCAGACGCTTTGACCTGAAAGATATTGTATTTGAACAAAATCATTACATGGGTTTTAGTGGTTTCTTAGCATTTCCTAGTGACATCTATAACAGGGATGAAGATCTCATATGGGCCTCGCGGAACAGATTTTTAAACGATCAAACCCTTTCATTATTTGCAAAATTTTAAAATAGTGAAAGTCTTCTTCAATTCACACTTCAACAAATCTCACTCATCAAACAATTAGTATATTGAATGGACATCTTGTTTCTATGGAAAATTATTTTAAGAAATGAGGCAAGAAGAAGTCATGTTTGGTGTTTGGACACACAGGGAAAGACCACTGATAACTTGAGTGAAATGAGTGACATTCACTTTCTGTTCAGGACAAAGAAGAAGCGACTTCTATCACTTCCCCTTTCCCCAGGATCCTGTGCTAGAGTAAATGCAGGGATATTCAGGATAAAATAGGACTTACAAGTTTATGTGTAAACAAATATTTGTCACATTTCTTGTTGGTAAGTTACCAGGTTTACATGTGTGACATGAGAAAAAAGTCACACTTCTCACGTAAGTTATACTGAACCCAGAATATTCCTTAATACATAAACACACAAGCATGTAGTCTGTCTTGGGCACATGCTTCATAACCACACACACGCACGCACACACACACACACACCCACGCACGCGCGCACACACACACACACACACACACACAGCAGGACACATGCAAACAGCTCGCTCAGCACCAGAAACATGCTGCCGATGCAACAAACATCAAACGCTGGTAGAAAACAAATCACCTACACACAGTTATACTGCTTCAAATCATTTTTGGCTGTAGGAATTACAGTAAAAATCTACAGAGAGGAAAGAAAGAGTTGCCTTTATAAACGAACAAATCGTCTCAGGTTACTTATGTAACCATGGTTCCCTGAGTAGGGAACGAGACACTGCGTTCTCTAGGGGTCGCTATGGGGAACGCCTCGTCGTGACCCGTGTCTGAAGCATACATTGAAAAAACACCAACTCGTTGGCCGGCGACAGCCATGACGTCACTACCGGTGCGACTATATTATAACCTAGAGGACGCAGTGTCTCGTTCCCTACTCAGGGAACCATGGTTACACAAGTTACATAAGACGTTCCCTTTCATGGGAACTTCGAACTGCATCCTCTAGGGGTCGCTATGGGGAACGGTAGGAACGGTATAACGGAAACTACAAACTACAAACTAGAAACTACAAACGATGTAGTTTCTGTATGTAGCCTTTTATTCCTTTCAGTGTTCATTAATCGACGCGACGCGAGGCAACATAAATAAAGCTCACATGCACTCAACTTAGCTGTCAATATGTTCTTATAATTATATTCTGTAAATTCGCTGGAGTGTTTGCATTCGCGAGGCTTGAAGACGTGCAAAAATATCAGTTTAATGAAGACGCTGCAGTCTCGCGAGCTCAGATACCGGACGCATAAGGCTTTCAGTTTCACACTAAAACAGCTCACAAACACCTGAATGTAGCTCTTGTTGTGTTCTAATGGGTGGAATGTACGCAACCGCTGGAATATTTTATTTTTCTCCTACCATTTTTCTCCTAGAATTCTCCTACCAGCTGATGGTTTCAAATCACAGTTCAAAAATCAGTCACCGGAATGAGAACAGTGATTGGACGACACTCCTTCTGGAACTTTCCTCTCTCTTTCCTTTTCTTAGCTTTCTTCAACTTAATTTTAAAATAATTTTTAATCTTCTAACTGGTATC